TTAACCAGGCTTGACATGAAACAGGATCATTAGGGCGAATGGGATGTCAATTGCATGTGACTTGTCCTTTGAACGAATTTGCACATAATACTACCTCCGGTCCTAATTATAAGATCTAGTTGACTAATTTGAAGAGATTAAGGAAATAAGTTGAGTTAGTTATTTGTCTTAAATAAGTGTCGTCTTTCCTAAAATATTCTTGCTAGTCAAGTATATTGGTTAGAATTATGATTGTTAAAAGGACTACTTTGGAAAAAAAAAATATAAATATGAGGGACAAAGTGGATTGGGGTTTTATATTTATGACCAAAATAAAAGTCAAACAAGGTCTTATATTAAGGACCGGAGGTAGTATTATCTATGATAGACTGTTCACAAATAAATTTAATTTATTTATGTTAATGTTATTTAAATATAATTTGTTAATCATCAAGTCAATGGTTAATCAATTATATTTCACAAATTAGTAGACATTCTATAATAGTTACGTTGCCCAATTAGCCAGTTCAAGAGACAAGAAATATGCATTTAATTCCAACGTCAATTTTTGGAGGAAAAACTACAACGTATTGGAAAAACACACATACACAAACACTATAGTAAATAAATTGACATTTCTCTTATCTTTGGCCCTCTCCCAAAAGCCAACAATCCAGCTTTTCATGTTTTTTTCTTTTGGACAATGCCATCAGGTATAATTGATCGCTTTTTTGTTCTCGCTCAAAGGAAAAGATCGAGAACATAAATATTTCTCTCTTTCTTCGATTTCAGTTTCTCAGAAGCCACAACGATGTGTGGCATACTAGCTTGCCTTTGGTGCGCCGATGACTCTACAGCCAAAAGGGCTCGCATGATCCACCTCTCTCAAAGGCAACCTCTCTGGCGGATCATAATTGTGGTTTCACTAGCTTCATCAATTTGCTCATGTTCTTATTGAACATTGCAGGTTGAAGCATAGGGGTCCTGATTGGATGGGAATGTTTCAACAAGGAGGCAACTATTTGGTTCATCAGCGATTAGCAATCGTGGATCTCACCTCCGGAGGAAATCAGCCCCTCTTCAATGAAGACCACACGATTGCTGTCATTGTACGTACCTGCAGATGAACTTTGCCTTTCTTTGTTATTGAACTAGTTTACGCTCGAGCAAATTAAAGGGTGTGATTCATGAACATGAATTAATATAACGTATTTTTATTTGGATACAGGCCAATGGAGTGATATACAATCATGAGGAGCTCAGGAAACAACTTCCGAATTCAGAGTTCCGAACCAAAAATGAATTCGAGGTCATTCCATACCTGGTACGTATCAGCACAACAAACATAATGTCGTATATCGAACATGGTTCAGGGAATAAGTTCATATTAATAAGCATCCATGCATGCAATGTATAACATCTGTTTCATAGTACGAAGAGTATGGAGACAACTTCGTGGATATGTTGGATGGCATATTTTCATTTGTGCTGTTGGATACTCGTGACAATAACTTCTTGGTTGCTCGTGATGCCCTTGGGGTCACATCCCTCTACATTGGTTGGGGACAAGACGGTAATTTAACTTACTGTTTTTTCTGGTTAATTTTCTTAAAAGGGTATGAATGCTATATATTAACCTGAATTGTTTACATGCTTATTCAGCATCGGTTTGGGTATCATCAGAATACAAGGCCATGCATGAAGATTGCCAACATTTTAAACGCTTCCAACCTGGGACCTTGTACTCCAGCAAGGAGAAAGGATTTCGCCGATGGTACAATCCTCCTTGGTTCTCTCAGGCCATTCCCTCATCACCATATGATCCCATAACTTTGAGACATGCATTGGAAAGGGTAAACTTACCAATAATCATGTTAAGATGTTGGTGATATATGAATAATATTTGCTCAATAGGGAAATCTATGTGAGCCCAAACATGAATGACAAAATGAATTTAATGCACAGGCTGTGATTAAGAGGTTGGTGAGCAATGTCCCAATCTGTGTGTTACTTTCCGGAGGTTTGGATTCATCATTGGTTTCATCCATCGCTATTCGTTACTTGGCGGACAACGCAGAGACAGTAAGGCAATTGGGAACAACCATTCATTCCTACTGCATTGGCCTGGAGGCGAGTTCTTTATTTATTTCATTCAACTGTCCAAAAAGAAGAAGAAGAAGAAGGCAGATCTGGTAGACTTTCCACAGAGTAATTAATAGTTGGTTTTCATATGAACAGGGTTCACCAGATCTAAAGGCCGGAAGAGAAGTCGCAGAGTTCTTGGGAACAGTCCATCATGAGATCCTCTTCACTCCTCAGGTATTAATTGTAGTTTTTTGAAGTCAACAACGCCTCATCATTTGCTTGCTGATATTCGAAAGTTAAAAGCTTTATTATAAGTTTATTATTTTTGTGCGCAGGATGGAATCGACGCCATCGAAGATGTGATCTACCATATAGAGTCATATGAAGTGGAAACAGTTAGATCCAGCATACCCACATATTTGATTTCGCGCAAGATTAGATCACATGGAATTAAGATAGTGCTTTCTGGAGATGGTTCTGATGAGATCTTTGGTGGATATTTGTACTTTCACAAGGCGCCAAGCAAGGAAGAAGCCCACCTCGAAATGTGCCGCAAAGTACCTCACTTCTACACAAAATAATACTCACTTGTTAATATTGTCTCTGAAATAAATTTAATACAAATTGCTATTTCGTATATTAATTTAGCTTAAGGCACTGCATCAATATGAGCATGGGGTCTCGAGGCCCGATTTCCATTCCTGGATAAAGAGCTTGTAAATCTTGCTATGAGCATTGATCCTGATTTTAAGCTGGTAAGACTTACCTCTTCCTTTTTCCCTTCGGATTGACTTATTTTCAATACAAAGTCGTCTGTCTGTGGCATTAAGTTGCCAAGTTTTGTTTTTCTTATTGAGCATCATTTCTTCATGCAGCCGGGACCAAGACGGATAGAGAAATGGATTCTGAGAGATGCATTTGATGATAAAGAACGTCCCTATCTGCCACATGTATGTCCCCTCTTACTTTGAAGACTCCTTTTGGAATGTCCAAATGAAAAACTCAACCCACTTAGTAGCGAATATATGCATAATTACGGGTATTAACTATATGCTCAAGTGTTGTATACATGATTGAATGCAGCATATACTGTGGAGACAGAAAGAGCAAATGAGTGATGGAGTTGGGTATAACTGGATTGATGCCCTCAAAGAGCATGCTGCCAAACACGTACTTAACTTAAATCTTATTATTTGCCCCGTACAACCCATGTTTCTCATATAATTGCTTTGTCATCTTCATCTCCGCATGCACAGGTGAGTGACAAAATGATGCAGAACGTTGCACGCACCTACCCACTCCACCCACCAGCAACAAAAGAAGCTTATTACTACAGAATGGTCTTTGAAAAGATCTTCCCAAAGGTGACTTGTCAAAGCAACGCATAATATATATATATATATAAACAGAGGTTCACTGTGTTTGTATTTGCTTATTGATGCAGCAACCTGCGAGGCTGACAGTGCCATGGGAAATGAGCGTTGCCTGCAGCACATCTGAAGTTATTGAATGGGTGACAGAGTGGTCAAACAATTTGGATCAATCAGGAAGGGCTGCCTGGGGGGTCCACCATGATGCTGACCACAAGTTGCTCACTGCTGACGTGGCTGACACAGAGGAGTTTATGACTCTGTAGTCTATACGCTGTTACTGCTACTCCCAACGCCCTCGATGGAGCCAATGCTCCTCAATAATTGAATGCCCCAGAGGTCTTTCACCATATAAAATGAAACCGATACCCATCACACGGCACACTTCTGTATCATCGTGTTATATACTTCGTGCACATCGGCAAGGTTCAGTTCTTAGTCGAATAAATAAACGAGGCAGCTCTTTTATTCTCAAAACAGGTTAATTATTATCACTTCGAATGGAGGAAGTGTTTGGATAAAAATTAAATTATACTTTTAAAAATAATTTTACAGCATATAAAATAATATGTAAAAAAATATTTTATCTCAAATTGCGTAAAACACTCTTAAAAAATTGCTTTTTGATGAACCAAATACCCTTTAAGTAAAGGTGGGCTTAAATTCCCTCCTCAGCAGATATCTTGGTTAGTATGATGTACAACTAGACACGTTTCCATGTATTCATGGAATTCGATGAAATGAATAGTACTTTCGATAACTATTTGTTATAAATTTTATTATCATAAAACAAGTTGGATGGGTCCAGGCTAAGAAGCAGGCATGGGGTCCCGAGGGAAACAGTAAATTTGATATGAGATGGGAATAGCAAAGCGTAAATGTAGAAGCACAGTGAATGAACTCACATACACAAGTATAGAACTCTAAATCCATTAAGGGGGTGTTTGGCATTCTCAATAGTTTCAGAAGCACTTTTCTGCAAAACGAGGTAAGGGGTGTTTGGATAGAAACCAAACTATGGTTTCAGAAGTGTTTTTACAGATTACAAAGTAAATATGTGGAAGAGGTTACCTCGTTTTGCGGAAAAGTGATTCTGAAACCGTGGTTTTGGTTTTACCAAACACCCCCGTAACCTCATTTACATATTTACTTCATAATCTGTAAAAGTACTTCTGAAACTATGGTTTGGTTTCTATCCAAACACTCCCTAAAAAGATAAGCGAACCTAGGGCCTCTGACTCACTGTGGACCACTCACGACATAGGCCATTCGGATCAACTGTCGCCCCAGGAAATTCATAAATTATATTCCACATTCAGTTAAAGAAATTAATCTTAAGTACGCGATTGAAACCGCATTTATCAAAACCAAAACTATAGTTTTTGGGCCGATGCTACTTGAAAAAAAAGCTCAGAACTCGAAGGGGAAAAGAGGAAAGTCATATGGTAGGTCTTTTTTTTTTACCAGAGATATGGTAGGTCATTGTACATTCCAACATAGAACCTCTGATGATATGGCAGACAAAGGCCAATAATTTATTTACCAGAAAAGGGGCCAAAACTCAGATTCATTGCAAGAGACGATGGGACCAATTCAATTTATAGTACGCCTGCGCTGATATCAGCAGAAATACATTATGTCTACTCTACTAGAAAAGATCAGACATACTCATCTACGCCCTTCATCAAACAGTTAGGAATTCAAATTGAATTCAGAGTGCTCAGTTTAGGACATTGCCTGGCGGCAAAGATGCCCCACGGTGGTCTTGGATTCGCTCCCATAGGTTACTTTAGCACTTCTTTCAAATTCCAAAAAATAAATAATAATAATAATAATAAATTGATGATAATAATAATAACAATTGTCCGCAAAAAGAAACTAGAAAGAGCTTAGTAAGGAGATAGAGTGAACTGGTCGACTATTAATCATGGTCTTAAAATAACACCACACCATTCAAGAGGTAGATAGATACAGAAATGTCATCTAACCACTAATGTTGGGCATGGTCCTACTCTTACATATTACACATCTTACACTCTCAAAGTGGTCATATGTTACTAAAAATAACCAATTAATTCATTAAAAAAATACAGATCACCCTTCCAAAACGAAAAAAAGAAGAAGGAAAATTAGTGTTACCATGTTTGATGATCAGCGTGATCACCGTTCACCAGAGAGGAGCACAGCAACAAGAGGGGCACCTGATTAGACCATTCTCATTGCAAGCCGTGCAAGTTTTGAAGCCAGTTTTCTCTGTGTACATCTTGCGGCTACCATTACACTCCTCGCAGAGGATGAACCTATATCCACCGCACACGTCACACGCTCCTAAATCCGCTGCGGGCAAGCCTTCCACGATTTTCTTGAGCTCGCCTATCTCGTTCAGCTGCCTCACCTCCTCCGCGCCGCCGATGTACCTACCCCCGATGAACACGCGCGGCAGCGTCACGTTCTTCTCCCCTAGAATCGACTTCAGCTCCCTCATGTATCCCACATCCATCGACACATCTCGCTCGTCCATTTTCACCCGAAACCCTCGCAGAATAAATCGCACGCTCCTGCAATCCTCGAAAGTCGACCTCACCACTCGCAGACTTGTGTAGTAGACAACAATGCGTTGCTCCGCTCCCGGAATGCTTATCGGCGGCGGAGTAGGAAGAGTGTCGGCTTGGACCGTGAGGGTTCCGTTAGGTAGATCCGGAACTGCGGCATCGGATTTCGGGGCGGGATGGGAAACGGGCTTGGTTAGCTTGGGTTGGTGTTGCTGCTGAGCTGACCAGGTTCTGAGGAGCGAACTGGCGACTCGGACGCGGTGGAATACGGTGGCGGCGCGGCAGGATGAGGGTTGCGGCGGTTCGTCGAGGCAGAGAGATTGGATGTCTTTGAATGAGGAGCAGGAGAAGGAGGAAGGAGATGGCGATGACGACGTATTGTGAATCCGAACCGTTGATTTGCCCCACGACCGCCACATTGAGGGGAGGGAGAAAACGAGCTTTCCCAGACGACTGATCCAATTGAGGATCCTCAGCAAATTGGGGGAATTGAGGAATTATTCTCTCGAGAAGGTCGGATAGAGAAAGGGGGTGGAAACTGAAATTGAATTGATAGTCGGAGAAAGTGGGTATCGAAGAAGAATTGGGTTTGTTAAGCACAAAGAAGGTAGGGAGTGATTGCTTGAAGTTAGGGCGTTGGTGATTGAAGGAGGAGCTGCAAAAGCGGGTGAATGTGCAGAATGCAAAGGGGCCTGGGAGGATCTCTGCTTTAAGATGTTGTTTGTGTTTGACACTTCTTTTAACAGAGACGAGAGACAAATGAAATGGTGAAATGTAAAGGGATTCGTGTTGGGGTTGAAGAAGGGGGTGGTTAAGGTGGTTGAGGGGTTAGTTTTTATTGCTTTAATGGGAGAGTTTTGAGAGAGAGAAGAAAGACGAGCGGAGAGGCCCTGCTTCAAAGTTACAGTAAAATCTTTCAAAAGGATTGGGTATATTATGAATGAGCAAAGCACACACTTTTAAAGTCAAAAATCAAAATTCAGGGCTATATACGCTCTCCGTCCCTATCACTATCTCCCCTTTATTAGGTGTTTTTTAATTGTTTTACTGTACTAATAAAAATTAATCGCTTAATTAAAGTGAGTTGGCAAAAAAATTACTTCATTAAACGCTAACATTTCATTTTTGCTCCTATTTGTTAAAAGCTCCTTTCCAGATTACAATTATTTTTTACAACTTTCAAAGGGTTATGGAATAAAATATACTTAATTGTTAAGAAATTTGACAAAACCCCTAAGATAAACAGAGTTTTTTTGCCGACAATAAAAAGAGACTTTTTTTATAGACACAAATATCTTTTATTAAAAAGATATTTTATAAAGCATATTCAACAGAAGTACATTTATAATTTTCTAACTTTATACAAAATTTCAATTTAATTCATTAATTTTAAAGAGTATCTTTAGTCATATAATTTTAACATGGTTTTCTAATGATTTATTTTTTAACATATTTATTATTTTAAAAATTAATTTTAATATATCAATACTTCAAAATATTTTATCAATATTTGAAATTAATGTCATCATTTTTTATTTTATAAGAATACTTTATAAAAAAAAGAGATGAATATAATTATATAAAATTTCATATAAAATTAAAAGCTTAAAATTATACCGGTGCCAGCATCTCATGCGCGCCTACACGGGACCTATTATTAATTACTGTTCTTTCGAAAAATTAAAAAAGAGCTATCATTAACTACCAGCACCTACTGGCTTGGAAAGGGACCTGGCCTCTCTTATTATCCAAAGTACTTTACCCCCTTTAACATCATTAACTTACATTAATTATCCTCCAAAGTTCAAACTTGCCACGACTTCAAGGAAGCAGATCCTCTCAGCGGCTTTTCCTCTCAGCATCCCTCAGCGTCGCTGATCCTGTCCGTCCAATTGATCTTGGGATGTCAGAAAGAGACACATCATCAAGCTTTTAAAATTGCATCTCCACCGTCCATTGTATCATAATATTGACCGTCCATTCAATTTCCCAACCAAACTCCCAGAGATCGGAGAAGGAAGTCGGAAATGCACAGCCCTCATCGTCATCCATCGGCCGTCACAGCCGTAACTGTTCAATCTTGGACAGATACCCAGTATTTTGTAAATCAGTCAGTCTTGGACACCGCTGGACACTGTCGTAGAGTGCCCATCGTTTCCATTCCCATGGCCTTGAATCAGGTACCAAGCATGAAATTTCCACACTAGTTGTTACATCTCATATGCCGCATAAACTTGTCAAGCTCAAATATTTCATTTCTCAGAAGCTCAGCCATTCCCAAACTGTTCTGTGAAGAACGCATTAAAGGGAAGCTTGAAGATGGAGGACTAGGGAAAGAAATTTTCTCGACAAAAGCAAACAGAAGCTCCATTCTTAGATGGACAGGGATTTGGCAGAAATGAAGAATTGAAGGGGCGGTCAGGATTAGAACAATATCGACGATGGAGAAGCAATTTTAAAAGTTGGATGACGTGTCTTTTTTCTGATCGTTCAGATCGAATGGACGGACACGATTTAAAGCTTCTGAGGGATACTGAGAAAAGTGATACTGAGAGAAACCGGACCCATTTATTTGTTGTTTGTACTTTGAACTCATCAATTCACACTATCGTCCTTCTTAATGTCAAGTGTAATTGAACTCAGACTTGATGCCACCAACTTATTACTTACTTTATGCAATTAAGTCCGCATTTGAATAAATGGTTCGTGTAAACAATAGCAAGTTCTTAAACGAAAACTCAATCTTTTGTTATGAAAACCATTTTTATCATCGCATTACGGTGTTTTTAAAAAACCATTTGCGTAGCAACAGTAAAACTTTTTTTTTTTGTTAGGATATAAGTATCTTCTTATTGAAAACAATCTTATTTGAAGTACTGTCGGATACTGATCATTTTCGCTAGACCTAATCCCTGTTAGTAGCAACAGTAAAACTATTTCTTAAGAAAAATCTTTAAGCTAGAACATTACATGGAGGAAAGGGAAAAGAGGATAATGGAGCGAGGGGAGAGAATGGGGCCATCGGATATAAGCAGTGGGTAAGTGGAGGGCCTGTTTGGAGACAACCAAATAATTTCACGGTCCTGCAAAAGCAAAAGGGTTTTCAATGGCCACCCAAGTGCGCGGCTTCTGAAAAGCTTCAACCATCACGTGGTGCCATGGACTTTTTTGATTTTCAGCCAAACGCACTGTCCCATAAACCTCACAGAACGAGGAAGGTAAAACAAACACAAACACAAACACACACATGGCCATGTTTGTGTCGAGTGTGAATGCGATTGATTCGAAGTTTCAGAATAATCTAGAGAGAGCTCAATGATTGTGCTTCACCTTTTATCACGTGATCCAATGATTGTCTGTTTTCTTCTTCACTTGGCTGCTACATTCCCAGGCTTCACCTTTTTCCTCTGCGATCTTTTGTTTCCTCAACGACAAAAGACACGGTAAGTTGTGTCAAAATGGTTCATGTTGGTCCAACCAAGAAAGAGTGTTGATATTTACGGACACCCATAACAGGATCTAAGGTAATAAACTGATGAAATAGTCCAATTCTAAACATAGAAGCCAGTTCAGTTGTTCATTATGATGAGACTGAGAGATATTTGTATCATGTTCTTGTTTGTTTTGGGTTTTAAGTCAAAGGTTTCACACCCACCAGAGGACACTGACCAAATCTGACTCTTATCAGTTACTGCTGTGTTCTAGGAGCCTCACAGCCTGGCTTGGTTGGTTGTTGTGTTGAATCTGTAGATGCGCATGCCATGTTATTAAAGGGAATTGGCCCAGATTCCATATTTCATGAGAGAGAGTGAGGGGTGTGCCTCAAATAATCAGATTCCTTGCCCTTCAGCTTTTTACAGACGAAATGGTTACAAATCCATGTTATCCATCCCTGTCTTTCGCAATTTCAATATTTGTATTGATCTTTTTGTTATCTAACTTGCTTATTTCTCAGTCCTTTATAACTGTTTAGTTTCGCTGAAAAATAACCTGGAAGTAAATAACTAAGATGAGTCCCATATGTTACCTTCCCTGTTACCATGCTGTCTAGAAACAAGACTGAGCAGTGAACAAAAGGAACAAGCCCTGAGTTACTTTAATTTTATAAAATTTCAATATTTAATTGTGTTTTTAAAAATAATAGATATAAATGCATTTCCTGACTTATTTTTCAGAAACGCACCTTAATTTTATTTGTTTGACGCCAGCACTTCAATGTTATTTTTTCCAAATACATCTAACATAGTTAATATTAATTTTAATAATAAATAATGCTTAGTTCAATAAATAATTATTAAATTAGTTAAATATCCAAACGTAAAAACAAGTTGAGAGATACTCCTCTAATCTTTAATATATGACCTAATTATTGAGTTAATTTTGATCCTAAATATAAAAATTATTTTTTATATTTATTAATTTTTCTTAAATTATTTTTATAAATTTTTTTCGACTATAATCAAATAAAAAAAATTAAAAAAAATAGGTTTTATATTAGGAATGGGATAAATACAACAATCCGGTTAATGTGAAGGTCGCACTGGTAATTTCATCTGCCAAAAATTTCTGGGTCCAGAAATTAGCTTGTCCATCGTCTTCGTGTAAGAGGCACAGATAAGTATAACGGTGAAATGGAAGAGAGCTCTGTCACTGCCGGAGCAAGCGACGCCACCATCACAGTCAACGTCAAGTTCAGTGGCAGGTCGATACCCATCTCAATCTCACCCGACTCAACCATTAGTGATCTCAAGTCCCTTCTCCTGCCGCCCACGAATGTCCTACCCCGAGGCCAAAAGCTCATCTTCAAAGGTTTTGTTTACATACTATTTCTTCAATTCTTTTTTCATCTCTCTTTACGAAGGCGTCGCATCTATCGCGAGGATCCTTTTGTTGATGATCGGGTGTTTTGTCAGGAAGAGTTTTGGAGGATTCTCTGACGTTGACGGCTTCTGAATTGACAAATGGCGCCAAGATTATGCTTGTGGCTTCCCAGGGTTTACATCAAGGGGTATTTTGTAGATTCATTTTATTTCTTTTCGTAGAGGGTGTCTTTTTTGACATTTGGAGCATTTAGACAACCATTTAGTCATATAGCGATGATCAAGCTTAGATACGAAATTATGTTTTGTAGAAGCACTATTGATTCCTTTTTCATTTATATGACACTGAAAACTAATGCCGTTCTTCAAATTAAGCCATTTCTTTAATCTAATTTCTTTGTGTAGGAGGGTCCGATCTTGAAAAAAGCCGAGGCTGTACCCAGGACGAGGAGAGATAACCGCTCAAGCCTGAGCAGTGACGCAAAGAAACTTCCTGTTAAGAACAGATTGGAACGATGGACTGCCACTGGAGTTATAGCGCTGTCTGAATGTAACTTGAAGGTAACAAACTATTGTTAGTATGTTAAATTTCTTTTCCAAGGTTTCCTAGATAAATCTAGTCAATGACGAATTGGTCTTTCCGGGGATTTGATCCATTGCCAGCATATAACTTTGACACCGCAAGTAAACAAGGGTCGAATTATGAAAGCATTTCAGGATTTCTTTAACTATTTTTAAAGTCTCAGAATTAATATGTGGCCCTATGCTGTTTACCTTCAGTTTTAAGCTCTATTCACGCTAACAGTGAATAAAATTTGAATTTAAGTTTGACAACTATTGTGGCAAGACTTAATCTTCAGTTTTGCTTGATGGTATGAATGTAAGGGATGTGAAAATGAAATGAACACTTCAGGCCCCAGGATGAAAACTGGGTTTTTTTTTTTTTTTGGGGGGGGGGGGTTCAAAGTTTGTTATGTGAGTTATTGCTCGCAGGTCAATGGTGATAGTGATTAGTCTATTTAGTCAAGACCGTATATGTCGTGAGAATCTGCTCAATTTTAATAAATAAAGAAACGAGAGGAGGGAGGAAAGAAGCTTAATGGCAAAGGAAGCCCGGGGAAAGGGAAAGAAGAAGAATATATTTTTTGTTTGTTACTAGCCAATTTGGTATGGAGTGTCCTCTTATTTTTCCTACTGATTGTAACTTAAGTAGGCTATACCCGATGAACTGTGGGCATCTGGGTCTTATGGAAGAGTTCTAGATTGCAGCAACAACTCAATTCAAAATGTGCCTGTTAAAATTGAAAGCCTTACTGGCTTGGAGGTAAGCTGAACTTGTTTATGTCTTTGTGGTTTTGTAACCTCACCTATGTATGGAAATTTTTAGTGAAGCAACATTTGACACTGGTTGCCGCATTCCTAATGTTATAGAAACTATTCCTTAATGCAAATGAGTTACTGGATGAATCAATAAGCTGGGAAGGATTAACAACTCTGAAGCACCTAACGGTATTATCGTTGAACCAGAACCAGTGAGTAATTCTTGTCATTTATGATTTCGGGGTGTTTTTATTTTGGCTGACCTCCAATGAAATGCCAAATTAATTAACAGCAATGCATGTACATTGTTGATGCCGAAGTTGTCCAGAATATCATTACATATATTGTTGTATCTGGCTTGAAGCAAAAATTAAATGGATTCATTCAATCAGATCATCTCTCATGTTGCTGTAGTTGGGTCACCTGTCCTAAGGTAAAAGGGTAAAAGGAGGAAGTAGAATTGCTAATATTTGCCTGTGCGACGTATTTGAGAACCGCTTGGCTCTGACTGTTGTCTTAGTCTGGGTACTGTGTTTGGATTATATTACTTCTATTTATCGTGTTATCTTTACAGCATAGTTCAGTGAATGCTTCCAATCTTTTTGCCTTGCTAGATTCCTGTGTTGAATCAAGTTGGTTGGAGACTATCAATAATGTCCTTTACATAATTTGCTCAGTGAACTCATTTTGCAGTCTGACAACTTTGCCTCCTGCTCTGGGATCTCTAATATCTTTAAAGGAGCTGCATGTCTCCAATAATAAGTTGGTTAACCTACCTAATGAAATCGGACATCTGACAAAACTGGAAGTTTTGCGAGCGAACAATAATAGGTAAATATGAATTATGTACTTATAGTCAGTTATTTACTCCACAAATGATGCACTATCTAGTTTGGTCAAACTCGTAATCGTGTTTCTTTTTGCCCTATTCCTTTCTTCTGTAGTTGGTTTGCAACTGACTTATAGGTTTCTGATTTATATGTTGTAGAGATTTAAGAACCGAAAGTAGAAAAATTTATGTTTAGAATTGACCATACTAAGCTTACAAATACAGAATACTCCTCTAGTTTTTAATATAAGACCTATTTAACTAATTTGATTAAATTAAGGAAGTTAGGTAAGTTAGTTAATTATAAGAAATATGACATGTTTTTCTTAAAACCCATAATCATCTTCCTTAATACCTTATCTCCTTCTTCTACTTGGTTATGGTTGAGAGAATATCCATAAGGGTAATTTAGAAAAAATTGATAAATATGAGAAATAGGTATTAAATTTAGGACCAAAATCAATTTAACAATTAGGTCCTTAAGACTGGAGGAGTACATAGTATACAATGTCCTCAAAACCTTAGTGTTCTCCCTCTCTGCAATCGGAACTTCATGGGTCCAGTCCATTTAACCTAACCAACCATTTCCCTCATGTGGTTATAACTGTTGCAGAAACACATTATAAAAAATTAAAATTTTATGTTATTTTGGTAGTAAAAATATTGTGCTGATAATCATGTCAGTTTTTCTCAGGATGAGTACTGTCAGCGAATTTATAGGAAATTGCTGTTCTCTTGTTGAGGTACATATGCTGAGCGCCCCCCCCCCCCCAAAAAAAAAAGAAAAGAAAAAAGAAACAAAGTATTCCAGTGGTGTATTATTTAAACTGAATTTAAAATATGACAGGGATGGTATATATTTTGTGATTTTCTTTTACTGTAGCGTGCTTATCAAGACTTTCTTGTGGAGCAGGTTGATTTCTCATCCAATTTTCTCACAGAATTGCCAGAGACATTCAGTAGCTTGAGCTGTTTGAAGGCATGTGCCCACTCTTATGCCTAACAATTAAAGCCCTCTGATTAAATTAAAGTCATAGCTGTTAATTATCTGTTGTTGCAATTTTACTCGTGCCCTTGAATATTCCTGTGAGTGCCTCGGATTGATTCATGAAACAAAACTCTTTATTTCATGCTCTGGAAATCTCTTAGCGTGGAAGTCTTGGTTTTATGACTAGAAGAGTTTTCGTTTTCCCTTCTTTTCGAAGTTTTAAAATCCTATATTGCCAGCTTTTCTCTCCTTGCGAATTACCATTTTACTTTATTTCATTCCATTATCAGTCATTTTGTTATATTCTGACATGAACTCACAAACACAGCCTTGGTGTTTCTGGTCATCATGCAGGCTTTGTATCTTAGTAACAATGCGATGAAATCCCTTCCATCTAAGCTATTCAAGGCTTGACTTCAGCTCTCCACATTGGATCTTCACAATACAGAAATGACCATTGATATCCTTCGCAAGGTATGCACTTTTTGTTGCTTTTCTCAGAGACACCTCATTAGGTTTCTTTCCAACATAACGTTTACATCATCAATGGCTCTAAAACAACAGTCATATGGAGTCTTAGAAAACATGCTTGACTTCTTGCAGTTTGATGGATGGGACAATTTTGACGAGCGTCGTCGCTCAAAACATCAGAAACAATTGGATTTCAGAGCTGGAGTTTCCAGAGACTTTGATGAGGGTGCTGATAAAAAATGAACAGATACTATTTGAACAAAAAGTCATTGCTGATTAAAATGTATTTTACGATCGATAATGTTGTGACAATTCCCAAAATCTTATTTATTATGATGGATGCCAAGTTTCTTGTGGCTGGATTTCTTCTCATCTTTAAATTACTACCCTGCGGTTTTGCATTAACATATTACTGTGGTAAGGCTGCAGATCAAACGAGACTGTGAAGAAAATGACTATTTTGAGCATTCATGGTGTGAAAATAGTCGGAAATCTGCGTCCATTAAAAAAAAAAGAAAAAAAAAAGGAGGCGGCGGCATCAGTCGAAGCGAATGTTTTACACAACACAATCACTCCTTAATTTTATTACGTATTACCGTAAGTTTATAATTCAGAAATACAATCATGTGCACTTTAAAATATATTACTTTCTGTCCTTAATAGAAAACTTTGTTTGACTTTTATTTTGATTCTAAATATAAAACCTAAATTTGTTTCTCATATTTATTCATTTTTTAAAAAATAATTCTTCTAATAATACTAGTTCTAGATAACGAACTTGATTAGTAAGGATATTTTTAAAAAAAAAACATCTATTTATTACAAATAACTAATTTAAATAAGTTCTTAATCTCTCCATATTAGTTAATTGAGTTTTATAATTAAAACCAAGTATATATTAAGATTTTTAAAATATCTTTCTTCTTTCTTTCGGAGGATGAAAACTATTCTTGTCTCCTCAAGAACAGAAAGCAGAAGCCTACAAAATACACTTAAAAAGTGTTTAGGTTATACTAAATTTCAAACACTTCCGTAAATCAAAACAAACCCCTCCACGTATTCACTTCGTATATTATAAAAATATTTTTAAAATTATGATTTTGTATCTATCCAAATACCCTCTTAACTGACCATATATACTTGTGTGAACACCTGCATCCCGGGGCAATTAGACGAAACAGATAAAATTATATAAATGTTTTAAATTTGATTAAATTATCTTTCTATACATTTTAGGCCACACAATAATGTTGGCCCAAAAAGAAATCCCACACAACAGTGATAAAAACCGCAAATAAAACAAGTGATCGTCAAATACAAAGGCTCTTCAAAACAGTTTAACACGCTAACAGTTAGCCGTTTGCGAGAAACGACCAACCTCCAGGAGACCAAAAGCAAGAGGAAATGAAATGAGACTTCCAGCCCCCGTCACACCCGGAGAGAAGTCGATCTTTGGTTCAACACCCAACAATAAAATCAAAACAACTCCATGCACGAGTGCAGTTTAACTACACATGATCAGATGGGCAAAGCAATTCATGTACGAATTGTGATATAATTAACAGCGTTGGCTTGAGAAGCCACTACAAATTATGTCGAGCTAAACTTGCTGCAATGGTAGTCCTTTCATCTAGGATACGCCCCGGGTACACCCGATGGGATGAAAATAGCCTAACGGAAATAAATGGATATTTGAGGGATGTCGATGTCATTATCCTCATCATCCTCACAAGCCACAACAACATCCAAGTGACAACGATATGGAGGGAGTTCTACCTTGGCCACTTCCCTTGCTAGATCTACAATCTTTTTGTCCATTCGATCTTTGTGCCTGGGGAACATGCTATTATAGAGCAGACAGCTTCCACATGAAATGCTATAGGCGTTCAGGCCTTTCTCCTTCAGCCACTCAAGAAGTTGCCTGAGTGTAGGATTATCTTTAAGAATCCACCTGTCCCAGACTGTCCAACTCATATCCTGGTGTTTGAAGAGCTTAGGCGGAACTGGCTCAGCGATGGAAAAGAGAGGAAGTGCTAGGTTAGCAAATGTGTTTCGGTAGTCCTCAACTTTATGCCCTCCATCCAATGCTTTGTAAAGCTCCAGGCAGACAAGACCAGTGGCCATGGCAGTTGAGGTTGCGATAGCTGGAATGATACGTCCTGCAATGAACTTAGCTTTAAGCTTGTCAACTTCAGGAATGCCGTAATTTCTAGCCCTCATGTTGGCAAGGCCAGCTATCATGTCCATGTGGTAGTTTGTATCATCATCCTGCAGTTTTGGAGAATATTATTCAGTAACATATTTTGTGAGAATGAATTACATCTGAAAAAAATGTCAAAGCAAGAGAACGCATACAAAAGCTATATCTCAATGCGAAGCTGAAATAAGAATCATGAAAATCAGCTGCATAGAAGAAAATATAGAATAACAGACCTTCTCAAACTGAATTGGTTTCATCCTGAAACCTGGTGGCAGGTTCGCCCGGCAACGCTCTAACCTGACTATTAGATCATTGATAACAGCTGTATCATCTATTGAAGAAGTACTAAGACTTGTGGCCTTCTCATCTGTCACTATTTTTGCATCTTTCTTTGGCTGAAAATCAGGTACTATCACTTTATCAATTGCTTCAGCCAACTTCTTTGGGTTCTTCACCCAATCAGGGATGGGTATGCCGAATGTTTCTGCTCGCAGTATAGAAGCTGCCATCACAAAATGAAGATGACCAGGATCAGAAGCTGAGAACTGCAGTGGATGAGGGAATCTTTTTGGAGCGGACCAAAAAGGAGCTCCAGTACTAGTTGCAGCATCCTCTGGAAAAGTGTAAATCAACTGCTTCACCCGATTAGCAAAATAATCTTCAAACCTGTGATAGACGCCCATATATGAAATTAGTGTACTCTCAGTACAAAATCATGTTATCTACAGAAGAGTTACCAAAAAGTGCAATAAAAAGCATACTTTAGGCGAGCCCATGTAATGCAGTCTTCAAAGGTCTCACACTTTTCCCTGTCAAGGCACTCAAGAACACGTTCCAAGTTATCCCTTGCTTGAGCATCGCCAGCATTCCTCATTGCATTAGTATATTCACTTGGGTTGGACAAATATAAATTTACTTCAGCAGGAGTTTTCTCAAGCAAGCCCTCAAATTCAGATCGGGCCCATGTCAAGCAGTGGTCAATGTTGTGTGGAAATGAGTGTACAGTACACATAGGCGCCTGTTTCTCAGGAGGATCTCTAGAAGCACCATAATTTTCTGTCAGGTGGGGAATGACCATCTGGGTATTGCACTTTGCCCCAAGAGTTCCTGACTCAAGAAGAGGCTTTTGGAAATACAAGCATCTCTGGTCGACATATAGTCTAGCATTCACATTGTCAAGTGCATTAATCACAACACTCAAGTTTTCCCAAAATGCATCGTCAAACACATTTTCAGTTTCAGGGCCCACACGGTTCTGCAGTGCTTCAATCTTCAGAGAAGGATTTATGGAAACAGCAGCTGATGCAGCAACTGTAGACTTAGCTTGTCCAATATTCCAGTCACGAAAGAGGAACTGCCGGCTAAGGTTACTCTTCTCAATAACATCATCATCAGTAACTGTCAGCTTCCCCAGATTTCCACAAGAAACTCCCATGAGGGCGAGATTCTTCAAGAACTCACATCCCAAAGCACCAGCTCCAACCACAAACACTTTAGCTTCTTCTAACTTCTTCTGTAACTTGGATCCAAAGACAGAGATTTGTGCATCATAACGGCTATTTACTGGTATAAAATCATTGGGATCAAGTGGTTCTGTAGGAAGTGACTCCACTGAGTCGAAGTAGAAATACTGCAAAAAGGGTGAGGTTTAAAACACAATCACTAACCAATCCAAGAAAGAGTAAAGATCTAGAAAGAATGTTCAAGCGACAGGGTTCAATGACAAACATGCAAACCCCTAGTTTGTGGAGGAAATAAATAACCATATTTTCTGATATCTCATCCATTTTCACACAGCTCGTAGTACCAATACGTCTCATGATTATTGATCGTAATGTAACATCCTGCTCCTCCTTAAGGATAATGAAAATACATGGAAGTAAATCATCCAGAATATATTCACAGTGATCAGGCTAAACAGAGTCATGTTCAACATGCACACATGCATCTAGGTGGGAATATGCCCTATGTGCGTGCACATGTCTGCATGACCATGCCGTGTACTAGAACATGCATTTCCAAAACATGATCAGGATGAACTCAAGAACATTGGCAGGTAGACAATCCTATTAAGCAAAGTACACAGTAAAATACAAGCACAACATCACACAAATATAACAAATTCTTGAAGACCACAGTCTTAGACACATCATTGACCTTCAAAGTGTTATGCAGCAAATGTTTACCAAAGGATGGCAGACTATCAGCCAAACCCCAAAATTTGCACTCTAAAAACACTAGTATAACAAGGCTATACCTTTGTTATAAGCAACAAATGACACAAATAATAACCATGTTGCCAACTTATTCTCAGTTCCCCCAACAAATGAATAAACACAAACAATTAGACAGTCTCTCATTAGGGCTCAGTCTACCTCCCACATGTAAAATGACCCAAACACCAAAGCTCAGCCATCAGAATGAACACCCAGAAATCATACAAACCTGAAAAAGTGGATGAAACTTCCCAGAGCATGCTTTAACAACCTCTTGTCCGACAATTCCACCAACATAGCAGCCATTGGATTCAAAACTGCCCTAGCACCAAAGGCAAAGTGCCGCAGAAGTTTTGGGTTGATATCATCCAATTTCCGTCTCCCAAGCTCTCATTAATATTGCTGGCAATAGAAATAAGCTTCTGAGCGTCATCCTCTGAACCAGCAACAGGAAAGCGATGTAACTCAGAGACAAACTTATCCAAAGCCTGGAATGCTAAGTGCAGGAGGGCGGCCGATCAACTTGGAAAAATCACTAAGAAAAAATCACCCGGATCACTGAGTGATTCTCTAAGTGTCTTAAATTTCAAAGCCTTTGGTTGTTTCACCTGTGTAACGATACCCCCCTTTACATAGGTACCATAATTAGTAGTGTCTTCTTCAAGAGTAAAAGAATATGCTCTTGCATTTTTAATTTTCCTTGGTTTTCCATCATTCAATCTGTCATACCATGAACTTCAGAGAATACAACAAGATCACCATCCTGAAATTCAAGCCTCTCATCATCAACACAGGATACCAGGGCATGATTGTCATTGCCAATTGATGCAATTATACCCGTATGGGGTTCCTCTCCGTCCACATCAAAAACAGTGAATTCAGGCCCAAAATCACAGAATACGGAGCCAAAAAGACCTCTGACTTCAGATTTAATGAAAGCAATTGGAGGCTGATGGCTATGGCAGTAATCATTGAACTCAATGGCTTTC